CCGTAATCAATAAGCATGTACAAGGATGTGTATCGTATTTCTGTAATTGATAAGCATGTACAAAGATGTGTATCGTATTTCTGTAATTGATAAGCATGTAATGTACAAGGGAGCAGAATTAGAAGGCATCTGTGCAATCGGGATGGGTTGCTATGATTTGCGACAGAGATTCGCGTCTACTTTGAAATGCCAATTTAAGCCAATTTAAGCCAATTTAAGCCAATTTCGGTATATACTCAACTCAATGTTACTCAACAGACTAAGTGTGACGAGTATCACAAACACACCACAACCGTACAATTGTAGATGACTGCCAAGAGTATCATAACAATAGCAAGGGTTTATACATGCATGTGTAGTCATGCATCATATGAAGCAATATAAGACATGGCTCAATAGTACAACTGTAGATGGCTGCCAAGAGTATCATAACAATAATACGGGTATATACTTATAAGTGTAGTCATGCATCATACAAGATTATCATAACAATAACAAGGGCTTATACATGCACGTATAGTCATGCATCATATAAAGCAATATAAGACATGGCTCTAGCACAAGTGTAGATGACTGCCAAGACTATCATAACAACAACAAGGAAAACTGCCACGACTATCATAACAATGACAAGGGGTTATACATGCACGTGTAGTCATGCACACATATACTTACATCGGGGAAGGTCATGACTGTTTTGTGGAGATCAGCCATCTTTGCGGCTTCGATAACCTCCTCATGGGACGCATTCATGTTGCCGTACGCTATGTTGTAGTACAGTGTTTCATTGAATAACACTGTGTCCTGTGTTAGAGTGTACGTGATTTTAGGGATTAGGGTTTAGGGATTATTCACTACATATAGGTATAGGTGTGACAACATGTAACATATGTATCTGAGAGTGTACGTGATACGGGATTATTCACTACATATAGGTGTGACAGTATGTAACATATGTATCTGAGAGTGTACGTGATAAGGGATTATTCACTACATATTGGTGTGACAACATGTAACATATGTATCTGAGAGTGTACGCGATAAGGGATTATTCACTACATACAGGTGTGACAGTATGCAACATATGTATCTGAGGGTGTACGTAATAAGGGATTATTCACTACATATAGGTATGACAACATGTAACATATGTATCTTTGTACTTGGTTTCATATCAAACATAACGTACGCTGAAATGACAAGAACACGGACACTGCACGTCTATGAGACAGCAGGCAAACACATCCGCTTCTGTAGACCCTGTACGCGTTATATACGTTTTGTTATCCACTAAGAAATCATGCTGTTTCTACCAATACCTAATACTGGCAAAAACATAGCTCAGACGAGAAGTACATGGTCAATATATCATAATGTATCTAATTCATATGTAGACACAACCCCATGAGTCAATATACCACTATGAATTTAAACACAAACGTACATAAACACACACACACGCACACACACATTCACAAACATACATAAATACACGCGCACACGCACATACACATACACAGACGTATATAAACACACACACACACACACACACACGTACAAAAACGTACATAAATACACACACACACGCGCACATACACATACCTGCGGCACTACACCTATTCAACGCCTGAGAGAGTTGACATCAATGTCTTTGATGTTCTGTCCGTCTATCTTGATCTGACTACATAAATGCACACACATACACAAACGTACATAAATATACATACACAAACGTACATAAATACACACACACGCACGCACACACACATACACAAACGTACATAACACACACACGCACACACACATACCTGCGGCACTACACCTATACAGCGCCTGAGAGAGTCCACATCAATGTCCTTGATGTTCTGTCCGTCTATTTTGATCTGACCAGTGGACGGGTCGAAGAATCGGAAGATGAGCCGAAGGATCGTTGACTTGCCACAGCCACTGGCGCCCACAAACGCCACTTTGTGACCCGCGGGGATGGTGTACGATAAACCTAAATGGGACAGAAACGGTTTATTTAGGGATGGTGGTGATAAACCTAAAGGGGATAAAAGCGGTTTATTTAGGGCTAGTGGTGATAAACCCAAACGTGACAGAAACGGTATATGCAGTAGATGTGTGTGACCATGTGAGTCCGTTCGACTGTGATGTAAAGTATGTTCAGCTGCTGCGACGTAATTATCCTTGTGTCTTGTGACATGTACTTTGGTTTAGCAACAGCCTTTGTGAGGTGACCGCTTGTTCTACGCTTTTTAGTTCGCCGGTGGTGTGGGGACGTGTGTGCCTGTATTGTGCTGCGTTGACAGATTGACTTGTCTTATACTCTTGGCATACGGTACATGTGGAGACACTGGGCGCCTACTGGAACCACAGACACAGACACATATATAGACACACATAAATAAATAGACACAGACACAGACACATATATAGGCACACATAAATAAACAGACACAGACACAGACACATATATAGACACACATAAATACACAGACACTGACACACAGACACAACACCCATCTGCGTAGAGAGACAATCCTAAAACTAATATATATATATATATATAGATCACTTGCCATCACACACACTACACCCACGCATGACAGTACACAGATCACTTACCATCACACACACTACACCCACGCATGAGAGTACAGAGATAACATACCGTTGAGTATGTTCTTGTCCTTGGTGTAGCCAAACATGACGTCATCGAAAGTGACTTGTCCTTTGATTGGCTGCTTCAGCTGAGGTGCTCCGGGGGTGCTCTACCAGGGGTGTGAAGTGAATAACACACAGCTTAAGACAATATTTCCCATTGATGTGTGTGAGTGCATGTGTATGTATGTATTCCTCTTATGGCACAGAATGGACCCAAGCGACCCAAGAAAAGACAATCGATACACCCATTGTAACTTATGACTAGACACAGAGCGTCCTCTACTGCTACAAAAATGAAACCAAATTGTCCTACGTGTCTTATGACTAGACACAGAGCGTCCTCTACTGCTACAAAAATGGACCTAAATTGTCCTACGTGTCCGTACCTGGATTCCCGGGTGCAGCTCGAGGAGAGTGAAGAGCGTGTTCATGTCAATGAGACTTTGACGGATCTCGCGATAGACGGTGCCCAAGAAATTCAAGGGCAAGGACAGCTGGAATAACAAACCGCTGCAAAGCCATACCACGTGCATAAGAATGTATAATAAGCATGTGTATAGGAATGTATATTAAGCATATGTAAAGGAATGTATATTAAGCATGTGCATAGGAATGTATATTAAGCATGTGTATAGGAATGTATATTAAGCATGTGCATAGGAATGTTTATTAAGCACGTGTATAAGCACGTGTATAGGAATATTTAATAAGCATGTGCATAGGAATGTTTATTAAGCACGTGTATAGGAATGTATAATAAGCATGTGCATAGGAATGTTTATTAAGCATGTGTATAGGAATGTTTATTAAGCATGTGTATAGGAATGTATATTAAGCATGTGCATAGGAATGTTTATGAGGCATGTGGATAAGAATGTTTATGAGGCATGTGTATAGGAATGTTTATTAAGCATGTGTATAGGAATTTTTATAAAGCATGTGTATAGGACTGTTTATTAAGCATGTGTATACAAATGCTTACTCGCTAGACTGCTTTGCACGTGCACATATGCACCCACACCACTCGTATGACACAAACACGTGGCCACAGTAGAAAGAGGTGAACATGTGAGTACACACACCTACACACTTACACACCTACTTAACAAACACCCTTACACACTTTCTCAACAAATACCGCAGCTCCTAATGTGACTACCCACACACTTACTTAACAAACATCACATCTCATAATGTGACTACCCACACACTTACACACTTACTTAACAAACACCACATCTCCTAATGTGACTACCCACAACCTTACACACCTACTTAACAAACACCACATCTCCTAATGTGACTACCCACACACTTACACACTTACTTAACAAACACCACATCTCCAAATGTGACTACCCACACACTTACACACACCCACACGCTTACAAACTTACCTAACAAACACACTTACACACACCCACACACTTACTTAACAAACACCACATCTCCCACAGTCAGTGTGCCCTGCTGTACCCCGTGTCCTGCGAGTAACATCATAATTGACAGTGACACACTGAACACGGCATTCTGTGACCAGTTCAGCAGCGCCAGACTCGTGAACACTTTGTTGGCGGCTGACTCGTAGCTAGCCAGGCACTTGTCGTACCTCTACATGAGGGGGGATATGGAATGGAGTGTGATATTAGGTAATGGGAGGGTAAGTAATGTAATGTGATATTAGGTAATGGGATGGGACGTAATGTAGTGTAACGCAATACAATACAATGTAATCGAGGACATGGAAGGGAGTGTGATATTAGGTAATGGGATGGTACGTAATGTAGTGTAACGCAATACAACGCAATACAGTGTAATGTAATGTAATGTACTGTAGTGTGTTTTAAAGTGGGTGCATAGGGTATATATTGGTGTTACACTCATATGTACACCCACATCAAACTACCCACCCAGACACTCGATATCTGATCTATGTGTGAAACGTATGCATTGGCTGTACACTCATATTTGTGAAAATAAATGCTTACATACATTCGCTAGTGTATGTATATGTGCATGTGTATGTATGCTTGTATAGACGACATACATGCTTTTCACGAACACATCTACATATATGGATATGAAAACAAGTACTATATCAATATACACGAATACCGTATATAGGTAGACGCACACACACACACACACACATATATATGGGCATACAAGAAAACATGATGAGACGTACTATACTTTCTCTAGGCGTGGTCTGTGTACCGTGCATATACATCTACTTGTACCGTGTAGCGTGGTTATTACATCCATTTGTACATGATGAGACGTACTATACTTTCTCTTGGCGTGGTCTGTGTACCGTGCATATACATCTACTTGTACTGTGTAGCGTGCATACATCCATTTGTACATGATGAGACGTACTATACTTTCCCTTGGCGTGGTCTGTGTACCGTGCATATACATCTACTAGTACTGTGTAGCGTGGTTATTACATCCATTTGTACATGATGAGACGTACTATACTTTCCCTTGGCGTGGTCTGTGTACCGTGTATATACATTTACTTGTACTGTGTAGCGTGCAAAAATCCATTTGTACATGGTGAGATATACTATCCTTTCCCTTGCATCTGCTTGTGCTGCGTGCTATGCTGACACCGTGGTGTACTTACATGTGCCTCGTGTGTCTCCATGTTGAAGTACTTGACTGTTTCGTAGTTGAGCAGTGAGTCTACTGCAAGTGTGCCTCCTGCGTTATCTGCGTTGTTCATCTGTCGCCGCAGCCTCACTCGCCATTGCGTGATCCACAGAGTCAGTCCGGTGTAGACAGTGATGCACGACTGCAGCAAGCAACCAGTGTGAGTGAGTGAGTGAGTACGTGTATGTGAGTGAGTGAGTGAGTGAGTGTATGTGAGTGAGTGAGTATGTATGAGTGGGTGAGTGAGTGTGTATGAGTGGGTGAGTGAGTGTGTGGGGGGTGGGTGTACAGAGGAAAGGGAAGGAGAGATATGAGATGAGTACTAATGTGGATTAGAGGTCTGAAGAGGCCTATCCCAACTGCTGCATCGCACTCGGGGGCTTTTGGATGGTGGCTATGCTTATATATATATATATTTATATATATACACAAGCACTAATAGACTTGTATACATCAATTATATGCATGCAAACGACTATAAGTATACAAACGCGCATACACAGCCAAGCACGCG